AAGAGAAACAGTTTTAAAAAGTCATTACGATTTAAGTATTTTATACAAGTTTTAAACTTTTTGTAATTTACTAGAGTAAATTATATAATAACCTTCCAGGTAATATTTTGTATGTGGTTTTTTTTTTAAACATTATTTGTAGCGATCTTTTAGTAACTTTGTTATGTTATTGGCAAAAGACTAATTAGAGTTTTTATTAGCTATCAATATAACAAACTAAAATATTTTATACTGCGATTATGAGAGTTATTATTATATCTTGATTTATTTACTATTTACATAAATTACCAGGATATAATAACTAACGTGTTATACATGTATTTAATAAAATTCTATCATAATGTAATTTTGAATTTATTTTGTGTAAATAGGCCATAATTAGTCGTTTATCACTAATGGTAATTGGTTTAATTTAAATAATATAGCTATATTTTTAATTACGCCGAGTATTTATTAGATTTATGACGAATAAATTTAACTGTTTAACAAATACTAGCTGATAGGGTCTTGAGCTTATTGAAATGAATATTTGTATTACTTCATTAACACATAAAAATCGTTTTTAGAATTATAAAATACCTAAGTTATAAAATTAAATTTAAATTGTCGCAATAATTGATCCCATAGTCTTTTGAATTTATGAATAGATATAAACTCTGCTAAATAACAATGGAATAACTATTATTTGTTATTCATTTTAACTACAATAAAGTTCTGTATATAACTATGCAGTGCATAGCATTAGCTTAAATTATCATATGACCCACGTCAAAATGAATAGTTATAGCGGTTACACTTTCGGTGACCATTGCGGTTTTGTGAATAGTATGTACTGGTGAAGCTTTATCGATGCGAGTGTTTTAATTTAAAAATAAACACTGCAGAATATTTAGTAATTTTTCCCTAAAACAATATAAAATGACTTGACAAAACTTTTTACTTGCGTTAAATAAAATGTGTTTTATTAATTTATACCCATACATAGTAATTACTTTTTGATTTAAATCTTTGTTATTATAAAAAGGTAATTTTATAAAAAAAAAAATATTTTTTTTTTTATAAAACATATAATTATTTTATATTATAATAATTAGTCGTATCAGTATTTAAAAGTTACTACAGTTGGAGTTTTCGCAAAACACGTACAACAATTTATTTTAAAACCTAATAGAGTAAAATAATTGTCAACAAAAGTGATTTTTATACTAAGTCGGTTTCTTTTTCTTGCAGCTCTCAAAGACATTGTAATCGTGACTTACCTATTCCCCTAACTGTGATATTTCATATTATCCATTTACTTAGTGTTACTCATTTTGGGCCAACGAAAAGTAATCGTCTGGCCGAATCCATTGAATGCGTTTTCCCAAGAATACTCAACCCCGTCACCTCCATCCCTCTCTTATATAGTATCCCTTCCAAATTCAGACATTACTTACTACCAGCGCATTCCGATGCTCTATGCGTGCCCCTCAACGCCTTTCCGTCCATAAATCTTTATTAAAATTTATTATACACACAGGCCTCGTGTACATTTTTTTCTCATGCTAACGTTTCCATACACATTCACATACAGTGATAAAAACACACACATTAGACTCGACTCAGTAGTTTTTAAATAATGCTGCTTAACAGCAGCTGTAGGACTCGTAATTTTATTTATTCATTTTGGTATGTGTAGTTTTTCTTTCTGTGTAAATATACACATATTTTTTTAATGTAATGATTTACGCATGCATAATACTGAAAAAAATACTTGTATAGACGTTTGTGCAAACAACGATGGGGCTATTAATTTTCCGCACGTATACTCATTTATTATTTATATGATGTTTCGATTGCAAACAAAATTTCCAGTTTTTTACTTCTATCATATGTAATTTAATGTTTTCGTTGTCGATAGTCTTGAAATAACGATGATTGTGATTATACAGTGTGTTCAGTAATTAAGGAAACAGGTGAATTGTTATAAACAATGAGAACAATTAGAAGCCCGTTTTCTTATTTACTGAATATTTTTTTATATACTTTAAACATGATGCAAATAAATCATATTTTACTTAATACGTGAAGAAAACACTATCAATTTGTATTAACTATATAATTCATATTAATTGCGCATGTAATTTATGTGTTTTACTGTAATATTTATGTAGCAGAAATATTTAAAATTAAAAGTGTATCTTAGATCTAACTGAAAACGTTCGTAATTTGACACAACTTAAATGGCCTCTTAGACTACATTAGAATAATATATTTTTTTAAATCACAAGTATTACTTATATAGACTGGATATGAAATGCGGACAGAGTATATGTTCCGAGTACGGGATTCACCCACTTGCGCTACATACTCAATACATGCATTGAAATCCATGCAACTCATTAAATATTTGTTTTTAAAACCGACATTGATTCATAAAATTTTTTTTACAAGAATAAGGCTAAAAAATGTCTATTCTGGAATTTTGAAAAAAATAAAGACTGTTATTTTTGTTTATTTCTTATTAATTCTTATATGCTTTGAATGTACCCTAATATCATGAGCGTTCTCATAGGGAGAATATGGGTAATAGAACCCTCCGCGATGAATTAAATAAATAGATGTATTTTGGAGGGGGTAGTAAGAAAATTTATTATGTATTGCATCAACAGTTATAAGTGTTGTTAGTTAGATGTATCTACCTATTCACCTATATATATATATATAAACTAGTGTGTATATGATCATGACTTAATGAATGAGAATAATATACGTACACGACAGGCGGGCGCGTAACGGTGGAAGTAATATGGAAGATAGACGGTTGTTAATAAACAGCTCGTCGAATTTTTATCATATACAAAAAAAGGTCGAGTACACGTATTTTGTCCTGTCGACACGACGTTAATTTTCCGATCCCTTTGCATCCTTTGCTACCTCCTCTAAAGTTGATTGGTGTCCCGGAAAGTTTTTTTGCACTTTGTAGTTGTACGTCCAACGACTTTTTAATTACTTTCGGTTCAAGATACAATTATTGTTATTGTTTTATTATTTTCATAATTTGTATTGACCGCTTGAACAACGTATATGAAATTTAACGTTTATACAAGAATGGTGATAATTGTTTTCACGAATTACGTTAATGGTTCATGAGTATAAGATTTCCGGTCACGAAGGAAGTATAACGTGTTAACATTTTTTAGAAACCTTTCAATATAAGTTATTCATTTTTTATTGCTTAACATTGTTAGTTGATTTAAATTTTAAAAATATTCTGTTATCCAAAAATAATTAAAAACTTTAAACTTTTTATGTTTCCTATAAAGTACAAAAAATCTTTCACTCTTGATTCACTGACATAATTGGGAGGGTAGTAGTAGTAATGAAAATTACACATAAAAATGTGTAATCCCTTTTTAAAATAGCTATAACACTGCACGTCAAAGCATGATAATTAAGTCAACTATTTTTTGTGCAATACGATTGATTTCGAAGAGCTTAACATAATATTTAAAAGTTGTCAGTTATTTGGTACAAATATTTCATGGAATTATTACCTGGAAAATTCTATACACGCTCTTTTGTTCTCTAATAATTTTTAACAATCAAGAAAAAATCTATAAGATTTCTTTCTTTGTTGTTGAAATTTTCGGTCATCGTTAATGGTCATGATGTAAAGTCGACAAATCGTAAAAATAAAACCGTTTATTAGCTTTTTTTTCCGGTGTTTGACAAAATATTACTGCGCCTAGTGTGTTTAATGTATCTAAAGTAAGTTTTTTTGTAGTTGCTAGTATCCAATAAGATTGTTAAGACTCACGCAAAACAACAATAATCTTACCGTTTTTATATTAAGTCGTGCTCGTAAAAATACTAGTCGACTATAAAATGCCCACCAAAAACCATTTGGGATACTTGTCTACACTAAAAATCGTTTATTTAATAGTTTAACTAATAGAAAAATAATAATGACAGATATTTTTGTACCGTTGACGCGTATTTGAAAAGTTTCAATAAGACGCACAAAAAACTTATTTGAATTATAAGTAAGTTAAGGAGGTGTATATGAATGAAAAATTCCAACTTTACTTTAAAGGCAAAATTTAAAGCTAATGAATATCAGCATAATACTTGTTGATTATATCATGAAATATAAAGTAATCAGTCTTCAGATTGTCAATTTAAATGTTAACATTTATGTATTTAAAAAGTCTCTTCTAAGTTGGAAGTTACATTAATTACTGAACTATTTAAATTTCATAAAATTAATCAATCTTAACTTTAAGAATACGAAAGTTAATAATTTGTTGACAAATAAAAAGTCGATTACTTGACCATATTTATTGGGATGTCTCTAATTGTCATATACAAATAGAGATTTTATAAACCTATTTTTCTCGTAGAACTTTTTTTATAACTTATAAAATCATATAAAAAGCAATTTTTATAGTATTATAGGAAATGTTTATTGAGATAAATCAGAGGGTTTCCCGAGTGAAACGAAGATATAGCATTGCGTTTTATAGTAATCATTATATTGACATTTTTAAGATAAAATCTTTGGATCAATATTTATTTTTTTGTACAATACACAATCATAAAACTTCATTTTGATCACGTTCACTCCGACATGATAATATAATATCATGTAGAGATGATATACGCACATAAATATATACACAGCGCGACACGTTTACACTCATAAGAGTACAAAATAAAATCATCGGTTCACCGACTTGTAAATGTAAATCTTCGCGGTAGTTCGAGTATGGCATATGAATATTTTATTATATATCAGAAAAATACGATATTACGAACAAATTTCTTATTAGAGATTCATTCACGGTTTTTATTATCGGCTTGGCGAATGAATGTCACGCGTTTCATTGTACAGATTTCCTGAATCCTTAGAATATAATTAAAAATATAATACCCAAAACCCAGTGATTAAATTTTGTCGAGTGTTGCCATTCAACATTTGAAAATACTTATTTTAATGTAAACAAAAATCTGTTTTACAGGTGGTGTGACGCTCACGGAACTAAGGGTGCCCACTTCGGTAATGGCAGGTGTCAAATCTGGTGTCGTACTCGACTGCCTTTACACGCTGAGACCGAAATCTATCGGTCTAGTAGTAGCTTGGTATTTCAATAATAGCGCTAGGCCCGTTTATCAATGGATACCTGGACAAAAGCCACTGAGCATCGGAGTATTCCGACACCGTGCCAATCTCGATTACAGGGCTTCCGACAACAACGAGACAATGCATCGAGCTCTGCACATAATCAATCCAACAATTGAGTTGACTGGCGACTATAGGTGCGTAGTGTCCACGTACCACGATGAAGATTTCATGATCAAGCGAATGATCGTTTACTGTAAGTACAGAGTTTGCAATTTTTTAAAAAGATTTTCAAGTTATTTAATAGAGTAAGGTCGTCCGGTTCGGCCTTAACGTAGTTTATTTTCCTCGAGAGGCGGTACTGTTCAATAAATTAAAATGTATAACTATGTCAAAAACACACAGATATGTCCGTTGTGTATGATACTATTATCAAACGATACGATTTATGTATTTATCAAAAACTTAAAGGGGTTGTTTCTTTTTTTGCCTCGTAAATGTAATAAGAATTTGAGTTTTATCTGAATCATTATTGAACTGATACATGTAGTTTAGCGCGAAAAAAATTAATTATAGATCAAATTTGTAGGAATTAGCTTTAAAAAACTCCACATGAAATATTAACTTTTTGATCGCTGAAAATGCGTGGAAAATTATATTAAAACTCATAACATCAAGTTGTCATTTATACACTAATTTATGACTGGTCAAAACTTCGCAAGAAATTGAATAGTTATTGCAAGAGTTACCCATCTTGTTATGGACATGGTTGTATGTGCTAGGTTATTTATAATTTGAGACTGACTGTAACCCTTTGCATGGTTGCGTTATTACTTGTTGATAGATCCACAATGTCATTTCACTGTATATGTAGTGTTACGCTTCTGTTAACGCACCACAGTATTGGTAAACCTATTAACACGAGACATAGTCATTACGAAGCATAAATGGGTTTAATAGGTGTATTATAATTTATACATAGAGCTTTGTCATTTATGGAAATAGAGTGTTATTTAATTAAGGCAACGTATTGTGCTTTATAGAGCCGAGTGATTTGTAGATCGTATTGAAGCTCCAATGACTTAGAAGACATGAGACTAACGACTTGCTGTATAATGACGTCTAATGACTATAGAATGAATTATCATTTGAATTTATTTATCATAATATCGGATTAATAAATTTTTGTTTCCTTTGAGTAGCTACGAGGTATACACAATTTTCTATAATCATTAAGTTTTCACTTTCGATGGAGTAATTTTAGTTTTATTAAATTTTCAAACTGCAAGTAAATATTTTAAATGTCTAGTACAAATTTCAAGATCATTTCTCGTCAAAACAAAAACAATTCTCTTTGTTTGCTATTCAAATCTTCTTTACACACTTTAAGATGGTATTGTATAAAAACCTAGGGTTTAAAGTAGATACTGTAATACGTCGGTAATTAGACATCTACTTTATGCTTTAAGAATAGCTCATTAACACATAATTATAAAGTAACAGGAATCTATTATAACAAAAAAAAAAACATTTTACAGATTTTTATTTATATTCAATGAGGCTCGAAAGTTAAAATGGAGTTGTATAAACAATGAATATTTAACTTTTATCTAGTTGTATCAACCTTTGTCAGACTATAAATGTATTTACAAGTCAATAGTATATTTACATAATAGTTAGAAAAGGAAGTTGCTTAAGGCAATGAATTTTAGTATGCACCTTACCTTATCATAATATTAGTAGTTTAGTAACTTACAACTGTGTAAAATGATGATAATAATGACGAAAAAAATGTTTAAAGAACATGTAATAGGTTTTCCTCATTTAAGTATACATAACAGCACAAAAATATTAAAATTTGTAATTCACACGTTATTTAGTTTAAGTATTTTAATTTCATTTTAAATTCATTTTAATTCATTTTAAATTTCAATTTAAATTATTTTTATTTGAAAAATATTTATATATGTATTTTTCAATTTGATCGCAAAAGACGACACTGGTATTTTATTGTGTCATTGGCGCTATTCAAAACTAGGTCTCCGAAAAAACGTATTTTGTATTTCGGTGCCAGATAAAATATTGTGAAGATTCAACATTTTGGTTCTGTTCCAAAAACTAAGTCCTACATTGACAAATTTTTCAAAGTTAAAAACAATCTTAAACTTATTTTTAGGTTAAGTTTAATAATTTAAATATTTTGTACTGTTGTTACAGAATAACGGTAACTGGATTTTTTCGATATTTATTATAAAAGAATACTTTGATATAACAATACAGTAAACATTTTTGTGTATAAAATTTTGTATAAGATCCTTACAGTGTTCTTACTGTAAACTTCTATTGATATATGAAATATATAAAACTAATAACACTGTTTCAAAAAATAGTAGGAATTTTTAAGAAATATCCATAATGTGATTTACATGTATAAAAAAAACACTTAAATTATCAAACTTTTTATTACGTTCATAAAATATAGCAGAAGTTTTGGGTAATTTTAAATTTTAACTAAATCGCCTAGAAAATGTATTCTTTTAATTTTATGGTTAATAAAAACTGTGAACTTAAAAAATCTGTTTCCCATTTACGATTTTTTTAAAACTAATATTTACATAAAAACGGAACGTGTCGTTTTACCAATAAAATTTCTTAAATTTTTTTATCGACAGTTTCTGATATCATTACATTTTATTACATAAACTTGAGAAATGCATATATTGAAATAATGGTAATACGAGTATTTATTAAACGAAAAGGTTTAAACAACAATTTTAATGTACGATCGAAAGTTTGTTAATCAAACAAACTTTTACTTGCATTTTAAAAGGCTTCGTATTTTTCTCTTTCAAATACTTTTGAATTTATATGAATGGCCGTTTGATTTTATGATTTTTAACGAGTCCCGTGAATTACTAGTAGGTATACAAATGAAATCAATAGTAAATCGATAAAGAACTCTTATGCAAGTTCCATATGAATTGATTAAGTATACGTCATGCAGTACTATTTGAAAGTTTTGATGTCCTATATGTACCTGTATTATACTATGCCATCGAGTATCCGCTGTGCAATATAGGTGACAGCGGTAATACGGTTATGAACCCAAAGCTTTGCGGTCATTTCGCTTAACCTATAGACCACATATGATCCTAGCACGATTTTACAGCGAGAGCCAAACATATCTTAACGAAGTTTAGTGTAATAAAATAACAGTGTGTACCATACCGCACCACCATGTACCTCTTGAAAGTAGTTGATTTTATAGAATGAGCACAGGTGTAGAAGACAGGTTAGTGGTCTAACGTTACTACTTAAACGAATGCTATGTTTCGATATCGAAATTGTCTTATTGGGTCTAATATTAAACAAAATTAAATATTTAGCCAGACTTTTAACATTTATTTGTTCATCTGAGAAACGAAACAAAATTGTTTATCATTTTTTTATACATTTGTAATAGAAATTTGTTTCACTCCAAATATCAAGATAAACAGACTAGAATTGTTCAAAATACAATTTCATGGGCTAACATCACCAATGAACATTAACTGTCACCATTTTTATAACTAAGAAAAATTTTAATTAAGTCCAATTTTCGACATAAAATAATAAATTAAAATTTTCATGTTAGTTAACTATATATATTTTTATATTGTTATAAAAAATAATTTTCCATACAAAAAAAATATTTGTTAACTTTATAAGTGTAACATTAAAATATAAATTGATAAAGACATCTAAAAAAGGAAATATTCTTAACTGTTCATTCACTGGTGATGTCATCCTATCAATCGTTCTGTTATTTTGATAATATGATAATATTGTGTGATGTGAGCTCATGGAATCTGTTGAAATCTGTCCTCGACAAATGTTCCAACATGTGTGATTCTCCTTGCTTTACAAAACATTGTCTGCTTTATATACAAGGGTTCGTCAAACGTGGTTACGCATAATGTAACCTGTCATTGTAAGTTCATCGATGCCTATAGGATTAGTAAAGTTAAACGTATTCATTATAATGTTATATCTCTGTATATATTCACGCGAAAAATGTTTGCAATATACGCCTCGTTTGTTTACTCATCATCGACTATACACCACCTGTGTCTAAATAGGTTTTTCTAACGCTGCAAGTTCTGCCTGTGTGTAATACAATGTAAGAAGTTATTTTCCTTTTCGTGTTTTCATCTAGATTAACAAACAGAGCATTAAAAACAAATTTTAGTTTGAAAAAATTTGCGTTTTTTTTTTTAAATTTATTTTTATAGTTTTACTAAGAAAAACAATAACTGCTGATTGAGAAAAATCTTAAAGGGTACTATCATAAAACCAAGGATATCTATTTATGTCTACTTACTCTTATTTATTTTTAACATTTATCGCAATCGTAATTTATTTATACAAACACATTTCTTCAATTATTGAATACATACCAACGCTAACGACGGTCGCTTGTAGCTGCACGGAATTTGCATATTATATTTAATAATAAGAGTTGATTACGGCTAATAGAAGTTTGTACGGCATTATTGACATATTGCAATTCAATTTCAAACAAGTTTTTCGCAAATTTTGCGAGTTTAAAAGTTGAAACGGAAATGATGACGAGTGGATCGAGTGTTGATAAAATAAACCAATTCCGAGACTTTTACTTAAGCAACTTCAACGGATTTTGATGGTCGGAGATGCATGTACGTCAAATACACTAAAAAAGAAACGACTTTTGAATTCGAAGTAAAAAATAAAAATTATGTAGAAAAACTCGTATAAAATTCTAATCTTATTTAGAAAATTACAGTTTGGGTTAGAAAGTATTTTTATTTAACATTGCTTGACGTGCACACTAAACGCGTATGTATAGATACATCATAGATGTTGAGATAAAATTGTTCTAAAAATTATAATGCCTTCTCTTGCCTTCGTTGTATGCAATATTTTAGTTCATATAGTTTATGACAGGAGGTTTCTCAAATGAATGTGATTTCTAATGATATCTTATTTTATATTTCACTTTCTTTTTAAATTTAATTGTATTATAGAAGTCTAATCAGCCTGACGTGGTTAAAGAGTCGCGTAAAATTTACACTTGCAGTACTGAAGCAGTGCTTTTAAATCACTTATTATAAATTATATTATTAAAGTAACTTGGATTTTTGTTACAATAATAATATTGAAATAATAATTGCAATCGTTATATTATAATTTTCCTTACAATAACATCATGCACATTTTTTTTTTTTTTTTTT